TGTCTGCGAGGAAGCAGCACTGACTTGATACATCGTTAAGCCTCTGCGGGTCATTTCAAGCGAGATATGCACATATGCACATATGCATTCGGTCACCTCTAACGATGCTTATTAGTAAGGACGAATGCATGGCGCATTCTCCATGGATTACATCCATGATGTTGAGTATTTAACAAAACCTAAAGCCTCGGGCGGAAGTTAAAGTCGCATCTCACCCTTTCCAAGGGCGTGTACAACCCTCACCAGGTTCTTCGTGTCGATTACATATATCCAATAGCTGTCAGCGTGATTGAATTCAAAGTCGAGATGTGTTTATGCTTACCAGGCCAAACCGTTGGTAGTTGGCTGCCAACAGATCGAACAGGAGCAAAGTTCGACGTCAAAATCACGATCCTCGCAAAGGAGTCAAAAACATCTGCGCGTAAAACTTTGAAAGCTTTCTAATTACATAGTAAACGCCCAAAAATAAATCGCAAAGAAGAGTGTCTCGTAATCCACGCGTGACCTTGCACCATACCTCAGGCTAATCTTTCCGGCCTGAGTCAGGCTCAGCCTCACTCTTGCAGTGACTCTAGGCGGGTGGTCCTCAATGAATAATTCAAGGACCTAAAATATCTAAACGGTCAGAGCTTTTCAGAATCCACAATTCTCCTGTTACCTTTTCTTCTGAGGATTTGGAGGTTTTTGATTGAGTGGATTGCGGATCAATTTGACCTTTCCAGGCTCTGAAGAAGGCGAGCCTCGCCGTGTAGCTTCATTGCATTGTTTTTGCTGCATTACTACACTGTATTATTATTGCATCACTGATATTCAATAAACATCGTAAATAACATTTCAAAACTGCTTAACAAAGGAAACTAGATCGATAACAATTGTCTCACAGAATGGGTGTTAGCAGAACAGGAACTCTTGGATTGGTCAACAGGGGAGATTTACTCTACTCTTCATAATCATCTTTATGTTCCTTATTTGAGATTTCTCCTTATTAGCCATCTTTTGAAACGTGTTAAGGACGAATAGTGCAGATTTAACAGAGAACGGGCGATTTCGGCGGATGCTCTGGTTCGAAATCACCACTTATCTCCCAGTATTGCCACCTTGTCATATCCTGTACTCAATCACACGAACCCCCTTCTAATGATGATCTTGCGTCTGCCGATCCCTTAACATCCAAGGTTAAACCAATCGTCAATTGTGCAAGCGGACCATCGGCTAATAGGGGGTTTCCTAGCCTCGTCTTCCCGCCTTTGCTCGAGTTCCTACCACTTTCCTCAGCACTAAAACCTTTGTGAAACATCTACATCGTGTACAGCCGTACCGCTCGTATGTCATGGTTTCATCGATGTTACCGCAGTCTACACAAACGTCTCAAAAGACGTTGCAATACAGGCCAATCAAGGACTGCTTCCAGAAAATGAAGAAAAAATAAATATGCTTGGCTTGTTGATCCAAGAGCTCATGAATCTCCTAAATAAGAGTGTTAGTTGCTCAGCCTTTGAGTGATTAGAAGGATATTGCGCACCATCGCACAAATCAGTCGTCTATTACAGAAAAAACAGCAAAGATACCGTCTTCTATCTCTACGTTGATTTCTTGAGAGCCGCATCCATCTAATTTGAATATCTCAGGAAGAACTGGCACCACAATACAAGAGTCCTTTCCTGTTGAATTTCCTATCCATACGAATCGTTTTCGCACACGATGCTCGTTTAAGCATTCCCACGATCCATTTTATTGTTCTAGCCATTAATGGAGGTGGAATAGTGTTTTCAATCGGCTGTAGCCCATTTTTCCAGCTCAATCTCTTATCGCCGTTTCGATTCCTCACAATCCACCGCAATTTTCTTCTTGCTCTTGTGTCGTTTTCTCTTCCCATGAAATAACTGTTAAAGCAGTGTTTGTATTTTACGTTTTTTTTATGTATTGCTGAATCTCAAATCGGGACTGCCTATAACTATCCGAAGCACGAAACGCGAAACCTGACTTGGTGCTTAGTGAAATGGTTAAACTTCAGAAAAACATCGGCATAAAACGCGATTTATATCACAGGTACCTCTTTGATATGATATTCCCAGTGTAGGCATAAATTCACGTTTACGGCTGAATGGAGAAACTCTTGTGTTGCAAAACTGAAGATGAAGACCAGTATTAGCACATTCATGAGTGAACTCCAAACGAATCAAAGACGAGCAGCGCGACTTGTCCATCTCCTTTTTTTTTGAACCGTCATCTACGTTCGTTTATTTAGGGTATAGTCTAATATGTGATCAGTGCAGAACGAATTGTTCTCTTTCAAAAAAAGCGTTGTTCACGACTTGGGCCTCTTAGATTGATCAATATTCTAACTTTTTTTCTACTGCGTTGAACTTTTCAATATTATTCTGTGGGTTCTTTGCTTCGCAGCTATTCTAGCATCGTTACAATATTACAAATAGTTATTGAAGAAATAGCTCTGAGTGAGGGTAAATTTAAGATTTGTAATACCACTCAACATTTTGGATGTACATCATCATACCGCTAAAAAAGCGGCCATCAAAGAGTTTTTTGTAGCTTTTCCTTATATCTATCTATTGGCCGAATGCTGCTTATCAGAGCGAATCCGTCGGCGATTGGTTGCTGACAGCTTCGATACCTTGTGTGGCGGAATGAATGATACCAAAGCAAGAACCTTGGTAGTGTGATGGTTAACACGTGCACTCGGTAAGTGTGAAACGCAGGTTCAACTCTCAGCCAAAGCTTACTTTTGCATAGATATTTTTGAGGATATGTTTATAATATCAGTTGACATTGTCTGTTTATTTATGATACTATTTGAAAAAGGATAAAGACTTCGCAAAGAGGAATTTGAACAGGAGTCTGTCATGAAAAGAAGTCTCTTCTTTGTTCCAAGATTGATGTTTTTCGTACTCTTCAATCCTAACTAGTTTGTGAAGAAACCCAAACACTCGTCAACAGTGGCTACAGTGTCAACAAATGCTTTATGTAGAACATATCTTTGCCTTGACAGACGTTGGTTTGTAATTTATCGAATGACTTCTCGAAGTTCAGGAAAGTTTAAAGTAGCAAAAGATAGTATATCCTGCAGATCTTTCCAATCGAAAATTGTTGAGGGTCGTCCATGCCTTTAAATTTCTTGCAATATCCAACTTGCTCTATAAGTTTAGTTTCATCTAGTTCCTTAGGTTCAAACGTTGCAATAAATGAACTTCGTGAAAACCTATAGTTTTAGTAATCGGGTCGTGCACTATTTAGAAAGATTATCTCTATCACTGAACATTTATCCGAAAAAAAAACTTCGGTGGCTTGAGTCTAGATGTGTGTACGCTCTATTTGCAAAAGTGATGTCATGCGTGCTGCAAAGATTGCATAATTTGCTCGTTAGCTAACTTATAGAAAAACAGTCAAAAAGTTGTTATGTTCGGAAACTTTGTGAAGCATAGATCTTCTAACTGCAATTTGGATTTCTTCGAAAGAATTAGTCGGCGGAGCTATTTCAGTGGGGATGTTAGTATACTTTATGGTAGAGAATATCAAAAGTTATTTGTTGAAAAGTGTTTCCCAATCAGTTCGTATTTCAATCTCTCGTTTAGATACTATGTCTTGTCCGCTTTCACTGAGTGAAACAGAAAATGGAGCGGATGCATTAAGGACCTTCCAGAGATAATTCTCGGATCGAATATTGAGTAAACGATGACAAAAGTTGGAATGAGATCGAAGTCGAATTGACCCAGTGTTTTTCTGGCGATGATATCCTAAAGAGAACGGGCTTACTGGATTCAAACGTGATCAATCTCAATACTATTGTAAATTTCCACGTCCAGCAAGAAATTTGTTGTTTTTTTTTTTGCTGACAAAGCAATTTCCACACATAGTGGGAGCTGCAGAGAGTATTAACTCTAGACTTACTACATTTCCATTGCCGTGTTCACGATTTATAGATGATGTTAGCAGTATCTATCGTCACTGCCCTTGACAAGGAACATGAACGTGTCGCTGCACAGGAAGAGAGGCTCAAACCAGCAAGTGTATTTGTCTTCCTACTGTATTTCATATACTAGCTCATTACCGACTCTCGATGAACAGCAATGACAGAAGTGTTCAACGTTGATCAGTTTTTGGATAATGCATCTTGCATCCAACTTCACTCGTAGCATCGCGCTATTAGCCCATTTCAGGACGGCAGTTGATCGGTCGCGCAACACGTATTGCAAGGGGCGTGCGATTCTTGGTGCTGTTCTATTATGGCAGCGCCATTTGAAGCCTTCGGTGCAAGCGCATATTTTGCTTTTGCAAAACTTTTTTGTAGTTTGTCGATAGCTAAAATCAAGTGAATTTCAACGACATGCTCAATTTCTCAAATAGCTTATTTTTGGCGCCGTACCGGTCAAAATAAGATTTTGTTTCTCATTCGAAGATTTCTCATTAGATGGAAAATGTAATGTAATAAACTTTTAATCATTAGATAGAGAAAATTTTTCCAATTATACTGGAATATTTGGCTTTCAAGGACTTCTTTGAGCTTTGTAACGACTGGAAAAATATTGGGTTTCACACTCAGTGGGCACTTTTGTCGCCAGGGTGTGTACAGCTGGAATACCAAAGAGCAAACACATCTTCTTAATCAGATTTTGCAGAATTAAAGATTTCCTCTATCTAATAGTTAAAATTTTGTTATAAAAAATTCTAATCAGGTGAGAAAATTCAAATGTGAAGCAAATCTCATTTTGACTGGCACGGCGTTAAAAACAGGCAATATGAGAAATAAAATATACCTTCAAAATTCACCTGATTTGAGCTATCGATAGACTACGCGAACGATTTGCTCAAGCAAAAAATACATTTTTATCGAAGCCTCAAGTGCGAGCAGCCATAATAGAAAAGTACCTTTTCTTACTTAAAAATAGCTTTTTCTCCGTTCTGAAGAGGTTTCTCCCTATTATGAAAAGTTTGAAAGTTTTTCCCATATGGACCTAGGAGACTTAAGTGGTGAGCAAAAGTACGACCCCAGAGAGGAGTCGAACCCGCGTTCCATTCATACCAAGAACGCGTGCTACCATTACACCACCGAGGTACATTCGCGCCACCACTCACTCTTCAACATCTCTATGTTAGCTGTCAGCCACCAACTTTTGACAGGGTTGGTCGGGTATGCGTTTCGTTTTATAAATCCAGTTTACTTTCCTCTCTGAAGAAATTTTAAGTAAAGAAAATAGCGCGCCCCTTCGAATCGCGCCGCGTGATCATTAAATTTCCGTCCCGACTGGATTAGACACCACCGTGATGCCACGAATGCTGTTGATCAAGGTGAATCATTTAAACTTTGATACTCCATGATTTATACACTCATATGCTTTGATTAGCATAACTCTCACGTGCGAAGAAAACTTTGAAGGTGAAACATGATCTTCTTTTCTGCTCTTACAGCACTATTTAAAGACCTTACTAGAAATCATTAGTGGTTTCAGAATTACAAAGTATCATGCTATCAAATAGTTACCGAAGCTTGCACGAAAATCATCTACGGACTCCAACCGAGCAGAAAATGTCCGCCAAGTGTTGAACGTAATTTGTTTATTCTGCTTCTAGTGCAGTGAGAAGGCTTTTCCAAAAACAAGCACAGGGCTGTAGTCTCCAAAATTCAGGTTTTTGAGTAATTCTCAAAAGTCTTGATGAACAGCTCTTTCGAACGAAATTTACGTTTAGATAATCGTGTACCTGAAAAGACACACGCCGTCCCAAACGGGATAGAATCTTATCTTGCCCTATGCATTTAGTTTTTCAGGTTGTTGAAGTATTATGGAAATGCTGTGATTCTTCCAATGAAGGCTTATATGAGTTTAGAATCCTCAGAGAGGGTTAAGGCTTCATGAGCCAAGAGCGCATGCTCGAGCCAACGATCCCGTGTATGTGGCAGGTCTGCTTCAATCACTGCGTTACACGAGCTTGTAGGAGTGACAGATCATTGCAGAAATGAAGATTATTTTAGAAAGCAAAGATATTGTTATTATTCACTACGATGGACAACATCTAACATGTTGCAATTGTCTAAAGTATCATGAGAGTGCAAGATGTGGCTTTACTGCACTGTTCTGATTGAATTCAACTAGAACCACAACAATGCTGAGACTGTAGAACTTGATGTTTCCGTTTCATGGACTCAAATCTCCACTATACCTTCCGTGGCAACGTGCACTATCCCTGCACCATGGCAGTCCTTGATCTGCCTTTCTCTCAGCCATGTTTGACCCCTTCGGTACCGCGTTGATTTATGGTTTGACGCACGACGCTGTCAACGAAAGTCCGGGACGCGCTAGAGTAACAGTGCTGTAGTTTTCTAATAAAAAATGCGACTTCTATTGCCATTAGAAGGGCATTGTCATCAACAAAGGATAGAAAGTGACTAAAGAGACTTTAATAAATCTAGCACTAGTAGGAACAGCGCCAATGCTTCCCAATTAAAAATAAACCAATCCAGTGTGGGTCAAGATGCTTGTTTGTCAAAGGTGAAATTCAAGTACGATGCTAGTGTACACTGTGTATCCTTTTTTTGGAAGCGTTCGTATCCATAGCTGTGAGAGGAGTAATATTCTTTGCAGATTATGCATTATAGGGATAACCAGATACGTTAAAAAGGAAGAGAATAATCACTTAATCACCAGATTTGTGTTCAGATCCGTACCCGTAACAAGAGCCCCATTAAGGCAAGACGCGACGCAGGAATCACTTTTCCATTTATGGACCAGGCGGTTTTTAGAGGGTTAACGTATCCGATGGCTATCAGCAATCGCACATCAACGGAATGGCTCTTGAACGTGCAAATCGGCAATAAACCCCAATTGACCTGAAACCTTGGTAGGAAATAAATATTTAGCCTTTTTACTCCCTAATCTCATACTTAACAGCAGAGTACCTTCTGAATATAACTCCAAAAATATCGAGATAGCAAGTACATTTTTGCCTCGGCTGAGTGTTAAGACAAGAAAAGACGAAACTACTAGAGATTCTTGGCGCCATACTCTTTAGACATTGTGCGAAAATGAGAAACGATGGCTGCAAGCTATTATTTAAATCTTTTTTATAATATCAAATATAGGTAGGCCATGTAGTACAATTTGACTCCAAACACGTAATTGATTCTACCATTGTTTGACAAAAAAAAAAACAGAAAGGATAACACCGGCGTGAAACAGATTCGTTTGACACTAGAACTTGTATAATCAAATATTCTAACCATGTGTTGAAGTAGAATTAAGAAGTGACTAGAAAAACTGAGCAAGGAGGAGCGAATGGCTTTAAGATCTAAGGACAAAGTTGATAAAATCGCACTAAAGATGACAAGGAACCTCCATATGTCGACAACTTCATCTCAACGATTCTCGTCATCTTACCATTCCCTCATCGTCCCTTTATGACATCATTAATTTGGTTAACGTTGTTCCTCACTTTATCGAAATGGTGATGGCAGTGAGAATCCGTTACATGAAAGTTTATCAAAGAGTAGAAACATTGCTGCAAAAAGAAAAAAACACTATACTGAGAACTGGTTTGGCACGGAAATCATACGTCTCAGTGAAAATTCATCTACTTAGCTTAAGTTGTCACGCAAGGAAGACAAAATAAAAACCGTTATGAATCAGCAAAAAATCTTCTTTACGAGATTTTTGGATAATATGTATTGAGGGTTCTGATGTCATTCGAGCGAGTAGAAACTACAGGGTAGCTTTATTATAGGACAGAAAAGAAGGAAGACTCAACAAATTATCAAATTTTTCCAATCAGTCGGTGATGCAGAGAAATGAGATTATGGTTTCTTGCAACCTTGGTCCACATAAGAGGTTCTGTCTTGATATTTTTATTTTACCATTTTCATCTTGGTAGATATTTTTTTTCAACTTTTAGAGATGAAAATATGACGGATAAAGTGCTCGGTGATTCCTGAGGAGCCAGCGTTACGTTCGATGTTAATAAACTAATCAAGAGATTAAATGCACGTGTGGGTCATGTAATAGCTTGTGGTGACGCATCGATGTACTGGATTTATGCAAAAGTAATGAAGGCTCATCTGTTGGTGTCTTTGCCATTTGATATTGGAATGAATTTTAGAATAAATGTGGTTATGTTATTGAGTGCATGTGACGCAGTGGTTAGAGGTGCTCTGTCGCACACAAGGCTGATGGTTCGACCCCGCTTTCATCGCACACCGAACTTTTCATCCCTCCATTGTACCTCTTTTGGCTGGAAAGACAGCAGCACTGACTTGATACATCGGTAGGTTCCAGCAGGTCATTGTAAAGGACTGATAAACATTCAATCACCCCAGACGAAATTGAAAACTGAAAACAAATGCATGGCGCACCCCTCATTGATTGATCAAAGCCGAGAGCTTTATATCTTATCCCTTTAATTATACATCATTTGAATACGCATCTCTCGCTGTATGTTTTGTTGCTTATGATGTTTAACTTGATATTTAGCTTAGATTTTTTTGGCTATGGAAAGAATGAGCGCATGCGGCGCAATGTAAGGATGCTCTGCGTCGCACACAAAGTCGATAGTACAATCTCGCGCTCATAGCTCCTCATCAAGCCACCCGTCCCACCGAGGTCGGTAAATTGATGCTGAACTGGTCGAAGACTTGTCTAGGAGAATAAGCAGCACTCGATACAGTGATAGGCGACCGCGAGCCATGGTTAAGGCCAGATTTGCTTTCAGTCACCTCAAACGAATTAAAAATTGAAGACGAATGCATAGCGCATCCCTCAGGGATTGATCGACGCCGAGAGCATTGTCCTCTTGTCCTTCTATGGAAACGACGTCAAACAAAAAGCCAAATCAGGCGATGTCCTTAGAGTTTAAAATGGATCGCAAAGCAGAGAACTCACAGCATCAAAAGCACATGTGGCCCACGAACTGCTAACGAACGTACACTGCAGGGGTGTCTCAAGAAGTTTCGCAAAGAAGACGAGAGCAACGTACTGGCCGGCTATGAGAAGTTGAAAATTCTCAGTTGAGCACAATCATCGAAACTGATTCTTCTAAGACAACACGAGATGCTGGCAGAAGGACTTAACGTCGATCATTCTACTTTCGTCGTTCGCCATTCAAAACAGTTTTGAAAAGTGAAAAAGCTCGATAAACTGGTGTCTCATAAAGTCACCGAAAATCAGAAAAAATTGTCTATTTGAAGTGTCGTTTTCTCTTATAGTATGCAACAATAGCGGACCATTTCTCGATCGAATTGTGAGTGTGGCAAAAAGTGGATTTTATACGAGAAGCTGCTACGATCAGCTTCGTGGTTGGACCGAGAAAACGCGCCAGAGCACTTTCCAAATCAAAACTGCGCCAAAAAACTCATAGTTACTGTGCGATGTTTTGCTGCCGGTCTAATCCACTGCAGCTTCCTGAATGTTGATGAGAACCATTGCATCCGAAAAGTGTACTCAGCAATTCGGCATGACAGACCGACAACTGCTACGCCTGGACCTGGCATTGGTCAGCAGAAAGGGCTCAATCCTTTTCCAGGACAACGCGCGGCAGCACGTCGCACAAGGAACGCTTCAAATGTTGAACGAATTGCGCTATGAAGTTTTGCCTCATCCTCCATGTTCGCCGGAGCTCGTGTCCACCGACTGCTACCTCTTCAAGCATCCCGATAACCTCCTGCAGAGAAAACAGCTCCACTACTAACGAAATGCAGAAAAAAAAACCTTTTAGAGCTCGTCAATTCCGGAACACCATATTTTATGACACAGGAATTAACAAACTTATTCTCGATGGCACAAATGTGTTGATTGTACGCGTTCATTTTGTACAAAATAGTACAATAGAGTTAATATTAGTGGGTCTTGTCTTCTTCAGAGCCTGAAAAAGTCATATTGACATGCATTAACTTAGTCACGCACTCTCATAACCAAAGCAAAAGAAAATTACTTGACGATTTCAAAAGTGTTCACACGTTTCTTTTTGTGCTTTGGTTATGAAAGTATTTGACTAAGCTGATGCGCCTAATTATGACTCTTTCAGGCTCTGAGCAAGGCAAGACTGCCCAAACGTTAGCCATCGACACAAACT